TACATATATTTAAATATATAGGTAGAGTGAGCTTTAAAAGTTCGTGAGTAAAGAGGTGCAGCAGCAATATATCGAAAACTTTTTAACAACAATATTTGAAAGTAGAGGGCAAACGATGTGTGATCAGCCATCACCTCAAATTAAGCAACGCTATTCGAAAAATCCATAACAAAAGTATTTTTCGTTGTTAGTTTTCTTCGGTGGTGAGCACTGTTGTTTAGTTTACGAGACTTTAATATAATTTTTATGTACGCGTTATTTAATTATTTTAGAACATTTATTGTTAATTAACTTCTCTTAGAGTAAGTTATTGTAATCGTCCAAGAATCAAAAATGAAAATTTTTGCATTTTTTCACATTTTGAAAGTTTCTGAACATTTTGGCATACCTCAAAAAAAATGGATGTGTGTGTATTTGTATATATATGTATGGATACAATTTTTCGTCCACGTTTTTGGGCGCACGGATCAACCGATTTGAATGGTTCAAACAGCATTCGATTCCTATTGATAGGGAGATATTTTTGACCAAGGTAGATCCAACCGTGCTGGAGATACGAAGCAAGAAGTGCAGAAAATAGAAATCGAATTTTTGAGAGAACGGAGCATCCGGTTTCAATATTCCAAAAAACATTTAATTTGTAATGATGGGGAGAAGTGATAATTAGTTTTTAGCAAAGGGATGTGCAGTCATTTCGAAGATACAGAGCTAAATGTACAAAAAATAGAGTAGTTTTTGTGAGAACTAAGCATGCGATTTGAATGATTCAAAAAACTTTGTTTTCATTTTTTTTCCGAAAAACTTTTTGCATATCAAAAATAATTCAGATTTTAATTTTAATTCTGGCTAAAGTTCTAAAGCTCACTTATATACTTTAAATGAATAATTCTAACTTTGCAATTCAGTTTATATAATTCTTATAAATATTAGACAATGTTACAGTATTTATAATAATCTATTTGAAAACATTTAAGATTCCTTGAACATTTCGTTATGGTACGGGAAGTTCCAGAAATTTGCCTTAAGGTACGATGCCTTACACTACTCGTTTATTTTATTAAACTTCATACCCTGTTATTATATATATTATTTTTGAAAAAAGATCTGGTTTTGATAACACAAATTAAAATCTGTGACAAATCAAATAATCTATATGCCACTTTTATTAAGTGATTACATCAAATAATTTATTCAATATTCAAATTAATAGAATAGTTACTAGCATTTGATTGTCCTCTCAAGACAATATTGCTTCATTGAATCAAGCCGCGTGCTATAAACGTTTTAATACGTCATAAACTTTGAAAAAGATATAAAAAAAAGTTTATTGCATGACATTTAGGAAATTTTCACATATAGAATTGTTTGTATACAGAAACATGAGGACAAATGGAACGTGCCTATAATAAAATAATAATAAAAACATCGT